GGCTGGGCTGGGCTCGGCCGGAATGGGCTGGGCTCGGCCGGGCTGGGCTGGGCTCGGCCGTGCTGGGCTGGGCTCGGCCGGGCTGGGCTGGGCTCGGCCGGGCTGGGCTGGGCTCGGCCGGGCTGGGCTGGGCTCGGCCGTGCTGGGCTGGGCTCGGCCGGGCTGGGCTGGGCTCGGCCGGGCTGGGCTGGGCTCGGCCGGGCTGGGCTGGTCTCGGCCGGGCTGGGCTGGGCTCGGCCGGGCTGGGCTGGGCTCGGCCGGGCTGGGCTGGGCTCGGCCGGGCTGGGCTGGGCACGGCCGTGCTGGGCTTGGCTCGGCCGGGCTGTGCTGTGCTTGTCCGTGCTGGGCTGGGCTCGGCTGGGCTGGGCTGGGCTCGGCTCGGCAGGTGCTGGGCTGGCTCGGCCGGCGGCTGGGCTGGGCTGGGCTGGGCTGGGCTGGGCTCGGCTCGGCTGGGCTGGGCTGGCTCTCGGCTGGGCTGGGCTGGCTGGGCTGGGCTGGGCTGGGCTCGGCTGGGCTGGGCTGGGCTGGGGCGGGGGCTGGGCTGGGCTCGGGCTGGGCTGGGGGCTGGGCTGGGCTGGGCCGGCTGGGCTGGGCTGGGCTGGGCTGGGCTGGGCTGGCTGGGCTCTGGGCTGTCTGGGCTCGGCTCGGCTGGGCTGGGCTCGGCCGGGGCTGGGCTGGGCTCGGCCGGGCTGGGCTGGGCTCGGCCGGGCTGGGCTGGGCTCGGCCGGGCTGGGCTGGGCTCGGCCGGCTGGGCTGGGCTCGGCCGGGCTGGGCTTGGCTCGGCCGGGCTGGGCTGGGCTCGGCCGGGCTGGGCTGGGCTCGGCCGGGATGGGCTGTGCTCTGCCGGGCTGGGCTGGGCTCGGCCGGGCTGGGCTGGGCTCGGCCGGTCTGGGTTGTTTTGGGCCGTGAGGGCCTGGTCTAGCTGCTGGGCTGGGCTCGGCTGGGCTGGCTGCGTTGGGCTCGGCCTGGTGAGCTCGGCCGTGCTGGGCTGGGCTCGGCCGGGCTGGGCTGGGTTCGGCCGGGCTGGGCTGGGCTGGGCCGGGCTGGGCTGGGGCTGGGCTGGGCTGGGCTGGGCTGGGGCTCGGCCGGCTGGGCTGGGCTGGGCTCGGCTGGGCTGGCTGGGCTGGGCTGGGCTGGCTCGGCCGGGGCTGGGCTGGCTCTGGGCCGGGCTGGGGGCTGGGCTCGGCCGGGCTGGGCTGGGCTCGGCTGGGCTGGGCTCGGCTGGGCTGGGCTGGGCTGGGCTGGGCTCTGGGCTGGGCTGGGCTCGGCTGGGCTGGGCTGGGCTCGGCTGGGCTCGGCCGGCTGGGCTGGGCTGGGGGCTCGGCTGGGCTGGGCTGGGCTCGGCCGGGCTGGGCTGGGCTCTGCCGGGCTGGGCTGGGCTCGGCCGGGCTGTGCTGGGCTCGGCCGGGCTGGGCTGGGCTGGGCTCGGCTGGGCTGGGCTGGGCTCGGGCTGGGCTGGGCTGGGCTGGGCTGGGCTGGGGCTGGGCTCGGCCGGCTCGGCCTCGGCCGTGGCTGGGCTGGCTCGGCCGGGCTGGGCTGGGCTCGGCCGGGCTGGGCTGGGCTCGGCCGGGGCTGGGCTGGGCTGGGCTGGGCTGGGTAGGGCTGGGCTGTGCTGGGCTGGGTCTGGGCTGGGCTTGGCTGGGGAAGGCTGGGCTGGGCTGGGCTGGCTCGGCTGGGCTGGGCTCGGCCGGGCTGGGCTGGGCTCGGCCGGGCTGGGCTGGGCTCGGCCGGGCGGCTGGGCTGGGGGCGGGCTGGGCTGGGCTCGGCTGGGCTGGGCTGTGCTCGGCTGGGCTGGGCTGGGCTCGGCTGGGCTGGGCTGGGCTCGGCCTGGGCTGGGCTCGGGGCTGGGCTGGGCTCGGGCTGGGCTGGGCTGGGCTCGGCGGGCTGGGCTGGGCGGGCTGGGCTGGGCTGGGCTGGGCTGGGCTGGGCTCGGGCTGGGCTGGGCTGGGCTCGGCCGGGCTGGGCTGGGCTGGGCTGGGCTGGGCTGGGCTCGGGCTGGGCTGGGCTGGGCTCGGCTGGGCTGCTCGGCTGGCTGGCGGGCGGGCTGGGCTGGGCTGGGCTGGGCAGGGCTGGGCTCGGCCGGGCTGGGCTGGGCTCGGCCGGCTGGGCTGGGCTGGGCTCGGCTGGGCTGGGCTGGGCTCGGGCTGGGCTGGGCTGGGCTGGGCTGGGGGCTGGGCTGGGCTCTGGGCTGGGCGGGCCGGCTGGGCTGGGCTGGGCCTCGGGGCTGGGCTGGGCTCGGCCGGCTGGGCTGGGCTCGGCTGGGCTGGGCTGGCCGGGCTGGGCTGGGCTCGGCTGGGCTGGGCTGGGCTCGCCGGGCTGGGCTGGGCTCGGGCTGGGGGCTGGGCTGGGCTCGGCTGGGGGCTGGGCTGGGCTGGGCCGGGCTGGGCTGGGCTCGGCCGTGCTGGGCTGGGCTCGGCCGGGCTGGGCTGGGTCTGCGCTGGGATCGGCCCTTCTTGGCTGGGCTCGGCTGGGCTGGGCTGGGCTGGGCTGGCTGGGGGCTGGGCTGGGCTGGGCTGGGCTGGGCTGGGCTCGGGCTGCTGCTGGGCTGGGGGCTCGGCTGGGCTGGGCTGGGCTGGGCTGGGCTGGGCTGGGCTGGCTGGGCGGGCTGGGCTGGGCTCGGCCGGGCTGGGCTGGGCTCGGCCGGGCTGGGCTGGGCTCGGCCGGGCTGGGCTGGGCTCGGCCGTGCTTGGCTGGGCTCGGCCGAGCTGGGCTGTGGTCTCGCTCGGGCTGGGCTGGGCTCGGCTGGGCTGGGCTGGTCTCGGCCGCGTTGTGCTGGGCTCGTCCCTGCTGGGCTGGGCTCGGCCGGGCTGGGCTGGGCTCGGCTGGGCTGGGCTGGGCTCGGCTGTGCTGGGCTGGGCTCTGCCGGGCTGGGCTGGGCTCGGCCGGGCTGGGCTGGGCTCGGCCGGGCTGGGCTGGGCTCGGGCGGGCTGGGCTGGCTGGGCTGGGCTGGGCTGGGCTGGGCTGGGCTGGGCTCGGGCTGGGCTGGCTGCTGGGCCTGGGCTGGGCTGGCTGGGCTGGGCTGGGCTCGGCTGGGCTGGGGCTCGGCCGGCTGGGCTGGGCTCGGCCGGGCTGGGCTGGGCTCAGCCGGGTTGGGCTGGGCTCGGCCGTGATGGGCTGGGCTCTGCCGGCATGGGCTGGGCTCGGCCGGGCTGCTGGGCTGGCTGGGCTGGGCTGGCTGGGCTGGCTGGGCTGGGCTGGGCTGGGCTGTGCTGGGCGGGCTGGGCTGGGCTGGGCTGGGCTGGGCTGGCTGCTGGGTGCTGGGCTGGGCTGGCCGGGCTGGGCTGGGCTCGGCTGGGCTGGGCTCGGCTCGGCTGGGCTGGGCTGGGCTCGGCCGGGCTGTGCTGGGCTCGGCCGTGCTGGGCTGGGATCTGCCGGGCTGGGCTGGGCTCGGCCGGGCTGGGCTGGGCTCGGCCGGGCTGGGCTGGGCTCGGCCGGGCTGGGCTGGGCTCGGCAGGGCTGGGCTGGGTTCGGCCGGGCTGGGCTGGGCTCGGCTGGGCTGGGCTGGGCTGGGCTGGGCTGGGCTGGGCTCGGCTGGGCTGGGCTGGGCTCGGCTGGGCTGGGCTGGGCTGGGCTGGGCTGGGCTGGGCTCGGCTGGGCTGCTGGGCTGGGCTCGGGCTGGGCTGGGCTGGGCTGGGCCGGGCTGGGCTGGGCTGGGCTGGGCTGGGCTGGGCTGGCCTGGGCTGGGCTGGGCTGGGCTGGGCTGGGCTGGGCTGGGCTGGGCTGGGCTGGGCTGGGCTGGGCTCTGCTGGGCTGGGCTGGCTGGGCTGGGCTGGGCCGGGCTGGCTGGCTGGGCTGGGCTCGGGCTGGGCTGGGCTCGGCTGGGCTGGGCTGGGCTCGGCTGGGCTGGGCTGGGCTCGGCTGGGCTGGGCTGGGCTGGGCTGGGCTGGGCTGGGCTGGGCTGGGCTGGGGCTGGGCTCGGCTGGGCTCTGGGCTGGGCTGGGCTGGGCTGGGCTGGGCTGGGCTGGGCTGGGCTGGGCTGGGCTGGCTGGGGGCTGGGCTCGGCGGGCTGGGCTGGGCTGGGCCCGGCTGGGCTGGGCTGGGCCGGCTGGGCTGGGCTGGGCCCGGCTGGGCTGGGCTGGGCTGGGCTGGGCTGGGCTGGGCTGGGCTGGGCTGGGCTGGGCTGGGCTGGGGGCTGGGCTGGGCTGGGGGCTGGGCTGGGCTGGGCTGGCTCGGCTGGGCTGGGCTGGGCTCGGCGGGCTGGGCTGGGCTGGGCTGGGCTGGGCTGGGCTGGGCCGGGCTGGCTGGGCTGCTCGGGGCTGGGCTGGGCTGGCTGGGCTGGGCTGTGCCTGGGCTGGGCTGCTGCTCGGGCTGGGCTGGGCCGGGCTGGGCTGGGCTGGCTGGGCTGGGCTGGGCTGGGGCTGGGCTGGCTGGCTGGGCTGGGCTGGGGCTGCTGGCTGGGCTGGGCTGGGCGGGCTGGGCTGGGCTGGGCTGGGCTGGGCTGCGGCCGGCTGGGCTGGGCTGGGCTGGGCTGGGCTGGCCTGGGATTGGCTGGGCTCGGCTGGGATGGCCTGGGCAGGGATTGGCTGGGCTCGGCTGGGCTGGGCTGCTCGGCGGCTGGCTGGGCTGGGCTGGGCGGGCTGGGCTGGGCTGGGCTGGGCTGGGCTGGGCTGGGCTCGGCTGGGCTGGGCTGGGCTGGGCTGGGCTGGGCTGGGCTGGGCTGGGCTGGGCTGGGCTCGGCTGTGCTGGGCTGGGCTGGGCGGCCTGGGCTGGGCTGGGCTCTGGGCTGTGCTGGGCTGGGCTGGGATGTGCTAGGTTGGTCTCGGCTGGGCTGGGCTGGGCTGGGCTGGGCTGGGCTGGGCTGGGCTCTGGGCTGGGCTGGGCTGGGCTGGGCTCGGCGGGGCTGGGCTGGGCTGGGCTGGGCTGGGCTGGGCTGGGCTGCTGGGCTGGGCTGGGCTCGCTGGGCTGGCTGGCTGGGCTGGGCTGGGCCGGGCTGGCTGGGCTCGGCTGGGGGCTGGGCTGGGCTGGCTGGGCTGGGCTGGGCTCGGGCTGGGCTGGGCTGGGCTCGGCTGGGCTGGGCTGGGCTCGGCTGGGCTGGGCTGGGGGCTGGGCTCGGCTGGGCTGGGCTGGGCTGCGGCGGCTGGGCTGGGCTGGGCTGGGCTGGGGCGGGCTGGGCTGGGCTCGGCGGGCTGGGCTGGGCTCGGGCGGGCTGGGCTGGCTCGGCTGCTGGCTGGGCTGGGCTCGGCTGGGCTGGGCTGGGCTCGGGGCTGGGCTGGGCTGGCTGGGCTGGGCTGGGCTGGGCTGCTGGGCTGGGCTGGCCTGGGCTGGGCTGGGCTGGGCTGGGCTGGGCTGGGCTGGGCTGCTCGGCTGGGCTGGGCTCGGGCTGGGCTGGGCTGGGCTCGGCTGGGCTGGGCTGGGCTGGGCCGGGCTGGGCTGGGCTCGGCTGTGCTGGGCTGGGTTCGGCCGGCTATCTGGGCTCGGCCGGGCTGGGCTGGGCTCGGCCGCCGGGCTGGGCTGGGCTCGGCGGGCTGGGCTGGGCTGGGCCGGGCTGCTGTGCTGGGCTGGGCTGGGCTGGCCTGGCCTCTGCTGGGCTGGGCTGGGCTCGGCTGGGCTGGGCTGGGGCTGGGCTGGGCTGGGCCGGGCTGGGCTGGGCTCGGGCTGGGCTGGGCTGGGCTCGGCCGGGCTGGGCTGGGCTCGGCCGGGCTGGCTGGGCTCTGCTGGGGGCTGGCTGGGCTGGGCTGGGCTCGGCTGGGCTGGGCTGGGGGGCTGGGCTGGGCTGGGCTGGGCTGGGCTGGGCTGGGCCGGCTGGGCTGGCTCGGCCGGGCTGGGCTGGGCTGGGCTGGGCTGGGCTGGGCTGGGCTGGGCTGGGCTGGGCTGGGCTGGGCTCGGCTGGGCTGGGCTGGGCTGGGCTGGGCTCGGGCTGGGCTGGGCTGGGCGGGCTGGGCTGGGCTCGGCTGGGCTGGGCTGGGCTCGGGCTGGGCTGGGCTGGGCTCGGCTGGCTGGGCTCGGGGCTGGGCTGGGCTGGCTGGGCTGGGCGGCCGGCTGGGCTGGGGGCCGGGCTGGGCTGGGCTGGGCCGGGCTGGGCTGGGCTCGGCGGCGGGCTGGGCTGGGCTCGGCTGGGGTGGGGCTTGGCTCGGCTGGGCTGGGCTGGGCTGGGGCGGGCTGGGCTGGGCTCGGCCGGGCTGGGCTGGGCTGGGCTGGGCGGGCTGGGCTGGGCTCGGCTGGGCTGGGCTGGGCTGGGCTGGGCTGGGCTGGGCTGGGTCGGGCTGGGCTGGGCTGGGCTGGGCTGGGCTGGGCTGGGCTCGGCTGGGCTGGGCTGGGCTCGGCTCGGCTGGGCTGGGCTGGGCTGGGCTGGGCTGGGCTGGGCTGTGCTGGTCTCGGCTGGGCTGGGCTCTGCTCGGCTGGGCTGGGCTGGGCTCGGCTGGGCTGGGCTGGGCTGGGCTTGGCTGGGCTGGGTTGTGTTGGGCTGGGCTGGTCTTGGCTGGCTTGGGCTCGGCTGGGCTGGGCTGGGCTGGGCCGGGCTGGGCTGGGCTGGGCTGGGCTGGGCTGGCTCGGCTGGCTGGGCTGCTCGGCTGGGCTTGGGCTGGGCTGGGCTGGGCTGGGCTGCTGGGCTCGGCCGGGCTGGGCGGCTGGGCTGGGCTGGGCTCGGCGGGCTGGGCTGGGCTCGGCCGGGCTGGGCTGGGCTGGGCTCGGGCTGGGCTGGGCTGGGCTGGGCCGGGCTGGGCTGGGCTCGGCTGGGCTGGGCTGGGCTGGGCTGGGCTGGGCTGGGCTGGGCTGGGCTGGGCTGGGCTGGGCTGGGCTGGGCTGGGCTGGGCTGGGCTGGGCTGGGCTGGGCTGGGCTGGGCTGGGCTGGGCTGGGCTGGGCTCGGGGCTGGGCTGGGCTCGGCCGGGCGGGAATGTGCTGGTTTCGGCCGGGCTGGGCTGGGCTGGGCTGGGCTGGGCTGGGCTGGGCTGGGCTGGGCTGGGCTGGGCTGGCCGGGCTGGGCTGGGCTCGGCTGGGCTGGGCTGGGCTGGGCTGGGCTGGGCTGGGCTGGGCTGGGCTGGGCTGGCTGGGCTGGGCTGGGCTCGGCTGGGCTGGGCTGGGCTCGGGTGGGCTGGGCTGGGCTCGGCCGGGCTGGGCTGGTTTCGGCCGGGCTGGGCTGGGCTGGGCTGGCTGGGCTGGCTCTGGGCTGGGCTGGGCTGGGCTGGGCTGGGCTGGGCTGGGGCTGGGCTGGGCTCTCGGGGGGCTGGGCTGGGCTGGGCTGGGCTGGGCTGGGCTGGGCTGGGCTGGGCTGTGCTGGGCTGGGCTGGGTTGTGCTCGGCTGGGCTCGGCTGTGCTGCTGTGCTGTGCTGGGCTCGGCTGGGCTGGGCTGGGCTGGGCTGGGCTGGGCTGGGCCTGGGCTGGGCTGGGCTCGGCTGGGCTGGGCTGGGCTCGGCTGGGCTGGGCTGGGCTCGGCCGGGCTGGGCTGGGCTCGGCTGGGCTGCGCTGGGCTGGGCTGGGCTGGGCTGTGTTGTGCTGGGCTGGGCTGGGCTGGGCTGGGCTGGGCTGGGCTGGGCTGGGCTGGGCTGGGCTGGGCTGGGCTGGGCTCGGCCTGGCTGGTCCGGGCTGGGCTGGGCTGGCTGGGCTGGGCGGGGGCTGGGCTGGGCTCGGCCTGGGCTGGGCTGGGCTCGGGCTGGGCTGGGCTGGGCTGGGCTGGGCTGGGCTCGGCCGGGCTGGGCTGGGCTCGGCTGGGCTGGGCTGGGCTGGGCTGGGCTGGCTGGGCTCTGGGCTGGGCTGGGCTGGGCTGGGCTGGGCTGGGGCTGGGCCGGGCTGGGCTGGGCTCGGCTGGGCTGGGCTGGTCTGGTCTGGGCTGGGCTGGGCTCGGCTGGGCTGGGCTGGGCTGGTCTGGGGCTGGGCTGGGCTGGGCTGGGCTGGCTGGGCTGGGCTCGGGGCTGGGCTGGGCTGGGCTGGGCTCGGGTGTGCTGCTTTCGGCTGGCTGGGCTGGGCTCGGCCGTGATGGGCTGGGCTCGGCCGTGCTGCTGGCTCGGCCGGGCTGGGCTGGGCTCGGCCGGGCTGGGCTGGGCAAGTATCTGAATGGCTGGGCTGGGCTCGGCCGTGTTGGGCTGGGCTCGGCCGGGCTGTTCTGGGCTCTGTCGGTCTGGGCTGGTCTCGGCCGGGCTGGGCTGGGCTCGGCTGGGCTGGGCTGGGCTGGGCTGGCTGGGCTGGGCTCGGGGCTGGGCTGGGCTGGGCTGGGCTGGGCTGGTCTGGGCTGGGCTGGGCTCGGCCGGGCTGGGCTGGGCTCGGCCGGGCTGGGCTGTGCTCGGCTGGGCTGGGCTGGGCTGGGCTGGGCTGGGCTGGGCTGGGCTGGCTGGGCTGGGCTGGGCTGGGCTGGGCTGGGCCGGGCTGGGCTGGGCTGGGCCGGGCTGGGCTGGGCTGGGCCGGGCTGGGCTGGGCTGTGCCGGGCAGGATGGGCTGGGCCGGGCTGGGCTGGGCTGGGCCGGGGTGTGCTGGGCTGTGCCGGGCTGTTCTGCGTATGGCCGTGCTGGGCTGGGCTCGGCCGGGCTGGGCTGGGCTGGGCTGGGCTGGGCTGGGCTGTGCTGGCTGGGCTGGGATGGGCTGGGCTGGGCTGGGCTGCTGGCTGGGCTGGGCGTGCGGCTGGGCTGGGCTGGGCTGGGCGGGGCTGGGCTGGGCTGGGCTGGGCTGGGGCTGGGCTCGGGCCGGCTGGGCTGGGCTCGGCCGGCTGGGCTGGGCTGGGCTCGGCTGGCTGGGCTGGGCTCGGCCTGGGGCTGGGCTCGGCCGTCTGGGCTGGGCTCTCGGCCTGGGCTCTGGCTGGGCTGGGCTGGGCTGGGCTGGGCTCGGCTGGGCTGGGCTGGGCTGGGCTCGGGGCTGGGCTGGGCTCGGCTGGGCTGGGCTGGGCTGGCTCGGGGCTGGGCTGGGCTCGGCCGGCTGGGCTGGGCTCGGCCTGGGCTGGGCTGGGCTGGCTGGGCTGGGCTGGGCTGGGCTGGGCTGGGCTGGGCTCGGGGCTGGGCTGGGCCGGCCGGGCTGGTGCTGGCCGCTGCTGGCTGGGCTGGGCTGGGCTGGGCTGGGCCGGGGCTGTGCTGGGCTCGGCTGGGCTGGGCTGGGCTCGGCTGGGATCCTGGCCTCGGCTGTGGTCTCGGCTGGGCTGTGCTGGGCTCGGCTGGGCTGGGCTGGGCTCGGCTGGGCTGGGCTGGGCTCGGTTGTGCCGGTCTGGGCTCGGGCTGGGCTGGGCTGGGCTGCTGGGCTGGGCTGGGCTCGGCCTGGGCTGGGCTGGGCTCGGGCGGGCTGGGCTGGGCTCGGCTGGGCTGGGCTGGGCTTTGGGCTGGCTGGGCTCGGCTGCTGGGCTGGGCTCGGCCGGGCTGGGCTGGGCTCGGCCGGGCTCGGCTGGGCTGGGCCTGGCTGCTGGGCTGGCTGGGCGGCTGGCTGGGCTGGGCTGGGCTCGCCTGGGCTGGGCTGGGCTCGGCTGGGCTGGGCTGGGCTGGGCTGGCGGGCTGGGCTGGGCTGGGCTGGGCCGGCTGGGGCTGGGCTCGGCCTGGGCTGGGCTGGGCGGCCGGCTGGGCTGGGCTCGGCTGGGCTGGGCTGGGCTCGCTGGGCTGGGCTGGGCTGGGCTCGCCGGGCTGGGCTGGGCTCGGCCGGGCTGGGCTGGCTCGGCCGTGCTGGCTGTGCTGGGCTGGGCTGGGCTGGGCTAGGCAGTGCTGGGCTGTGCTGGGCTGGGCTTGGCTGGGCCGTGCCGTGCTGGGCTGTGCTGGGCTGGGCCGTGCTGGGTTGTGTTCTGCCGTACTGGGCTGGGCTCGGCCGTGATGAGCTGGGCTCGGCCGGGCTGGGCTGGGCTAGGCCGGGCTGGGCTGGGCTCGGCCGGGCTGGGCTGGGCTCGGCCGTGCTGGTCTGGTCACAGCCGGTCTTGGCATGGATCGGCCAGTATGAGCTGGCTTCGGCCGGGCTGGGCTGGGCTCGGCCGGCTGGGCTGGGCTGGGCGGGCTGGCTGGGCTGGGCTGGCTGGGCGGGCTGGCTGCTGGGCTCGGCCGGGCTGGGCTGGGCTTGCCCGGTCGGGCTGGGCTGGGCTCGGCCGTGCTGGGCTGGGCTCGGCCGGCCTGGGCTTGGCTGGGCTCGGCCGGGCTGGGCTGGGCTCGGCCGGGCTGGGCTGGGCTCTGCCGGGCTGGGCTGGGCTCGGCCGGGCTGGGCTGGGCTCGGCCGGGCTTGGTCTGGGTTCGGCCGGGCTTTGCTGGGCTCGGCCGGGCTGGGCTGGGCTCGGCCAGCCCAGCCCGGCCGAGCCCAGCCCAGCCCGGCCGAGCCCAGCCCAGCACGGCAGAGCCAACACGGCCGGCCGAGCCCAGCCCCCGGCCGAGCCCAGCCCAGCCCGGCCGAGCACAGCCCAGCACGGCCGAGCCCAGCCCAGCACGGCCGAGCCCAGCCCGGCCGAGCCCAGCCCAGCCCGGCCGAGCCCAGCCCAGCCCAGCCCAGCACAGCACAGCCCCAACCAAGCCCAGAACGCCCAGCCCAGCCCAGCCCAGCCCGGCCAGCCCAGCACACACGGCCGAGCCCAGCAC